TTATACCATATTTTAAATTACTCTGATGAAATTGTTATGTGCTTGTGTGATTTAATTGTTTATTTGGGGGTATAGAAGGGGGTGTTACAGTGAAATCCAAAGAATTTTCAAAGTCGAAAGATTTGAAGATTGAAGATAGTGGTGAAGGCTTAAATGTGTCAAGAGGAGGAGGTTAGCGTAAAGGGATGTCCAAATCAAAAAGGTCTGACAAGTCAAAGGTAAAATATTTTAATTGTCAGAAAATCAGTCACTTTAAAAGGGATTGTTTTGAAAGAAAGGTCAATGAAGATTATGTTCAAGCTGTAGTTGCATTGGGTAGGAAAGTTATGAGGATGTCGAAGCACTAGTAGTATCGAGTTTGGAAACTGAAGATGGTTGGGTCATTGACTTAGGTTGCTCTTATCACATGTGTCTAAGAATAAAATACTTTGAATCTTTGAAGATGGTGCAAGGTGGAGTAGTTCGACTTGGTAATAATAAGGCATGCAATGTTCATGGTATTGGTACGGTCAGATTTAAAATGTTTAATGATCGTGAACTTCTTATTCACAATGTGAGGTATGCTCCAGAACTCAAGCAAAATTTATTATCTCTAAGTATGTTTGATGATCTAGGCTATAGTACTAGAGTTGAACATGGAGTGTTGAAGATTTCGCATGATGGATTGATTATTACTAAAGGGTCTAAAATATGTGGTCTATATATTTTAGAAGGTTCAAATGTTATTATTCATTCATCGTTAACTAGTGGAGGCTTTCATGGCAAGGAAGAGCTATGGGATTTGAGTTTAAGGCGTTATGAATGCCTTGAGAAAGTTTCAGAGGAGTATAATGAATTTTGTAGAAATCAAGGGATAAAAATTTATGTTACCGCTGAGTTGTTATTGAGTTTTTATGGAATAGCTGAGGTTAAAATAAATTGGTTGGTAGAGAATTTCTTCAGAAGAAGAATAGTGAAAACCAAGGGAGAAACCTGGGAGAAACTATAACGGAGAAAACTCAGTTTGAGGTGGAGTTTTCTACTATGGATGCTAGTAATAGTGAGGGAACTGTTACAGAGATCTCTGATTATTATTTGACTCATGATAAGGTAAGGAGGGTTATTGTAGGATCTCAAAGGGGCGGTTATGCTAATCTTGGATATTATGTTTTTAATGTGGCTGAAGGACTGCGAAATAAAATAAGAAAAATCTTCAAGGAGGCAGGCATTTGAAAACAGGTGGAGTCAAGGGTAATTGAAAAATCATACTTGTAGGCTTGTTAAATTACCTAGGCAGAAAAGGGTAATTGAGAATAAGTGGATGCAAGTTGCGAGATCAAGATTCAAGGATTGCTTGAATTTGATCAAAGTTATTAATTAAAGTTTCAACTTGGTAGAGAGCAACAATGTTCTTGATTATTAAATTGGTATCAACACGGTTTAAAGTCAAGGTGGAGATTGTTGTAAATGTGCCTTAAAACCTTTGTTGATAAAGAGAAAGAAAATATATTTTGAAGATTGCATTAACCGCGAAAATCGGACGAAAAGTCGAGGAAAATTTTTTTGATCGGTGAATAGTGACGTTCGTACGCTGGATAGTACTATCCGTACAGATGAATAGTGGCGTCCGTACGGTGAATAGTGTTTTCGAGTTTTCGGGCTTTTTTCGATTCAGTCCATGGATTCATGTGATTTTGGGCTTTGTTTGTTAGGTATTTGCTATTATAAATATGTATCTCTTATATATTTGGTGTGTGACAATCTTAGAGTTTTCACCAAAAAGGGAGACTAAGTGTTTAAAGGTATAGCATAGGATTTCAGCTATGCACAAAGAAAATCTTTGGATTTACACCTTGGGTTTGAGTGATTCATATATTGAGAGTTTTGGATTTACACCTTGGGTTTGAGTGATTTATATATTGAGAGTTTTGAATTTACACATTGGGTTTGAGTGATTCATATATTGAGAGTTAGAAGGGTAGAGAAACACTTGGGTAGAAAATAGGGTTGTTCTTGAGCGTCTTTAGGGTTGTTCTTGGGAATCTAAAGGCGAAGGCTTGTAACTCTTGTAACAACTTTCTGAGTATAGTGAATTGCAGAGCTTCTCTCTCCCCCAGAGTAGATCATTTGATCGAACTGGACAAACAAACCTTCGTTTTTTTCTTGCCTTATTCTGATATATTATCTGTGTAGGAATTATTATTGCTAAAGACCATTTATTTTGGTTGCTATTGTTCTTTGCCTCACAAATTGATATTGAATTTTGTCGTAATTCACAACAAGATTCACAACATAATTAGTAGAAGATGCATGTGTCTGCATGAAAACGATATATTGATTAATTTAGTAAAATATATATTGAGTTTTCTTCAATTTTTAAAAAAAAATTCTAACTTGAATACTATAATAAATAGAATTATTTAATATATAAAAGTATATATTATATTTAGACTCCTAATATTACTATAAAAAAAAAATTCTAACTTGATAGTATAAAATTACTTTAGACTCCTAATATATATATTTTTTAATTTATTTTAATATATAAAAGTATTTTTAATTTAAAAATTTCAAATACACAATATGTATTTTTAATATGTATATGGAATAACCATAAGTTGTATTATTTTATAATAATAATAGTGATTTTGTTGGATTTCAAATAAAAATTATCCATTAGGTTTTTATAGTAGCTTGAATGAATTATATCCATGATTTTAAAAGGATGGATTGAATTCAATTCATTATCTAAAATTTTAGATAATAAATAGATTGAATGAACTATTTAATAAATATATTGGATGGATAATTGTTTAATGGATTCAATTATCAGATAATAGTAAATTAAACTTGTATAATGAAACTTTCATTTCATAGTTTTAGCTTCTCCAACAACAAAAGTATGAAATTATACAATGAATCATGTTGCTCTATTTGCTTTCAGATGAGAACCAAAATCTCTTTACTTCTGGTTAACAGTCCTACATCTGACAATATATAACATGAATATGTATTTATAAGTGGGAGTAATTCTCATTCCACCAATCGATTTTGTAGGGTTGAGTTAGACTCATGTTGCTTCATTTGCCTCCAAGTGAGGTTGAAAACTCACGTAGCAAATGTTGTTTTTCTTCTATGAATCTCACATTGCAAATATTTTTCTCCTTTCTTGAAATATTCATTTGCAAACTCCCATATAAAATCTTCATTTGAGAACTCCCATGTTTTTGGCAAGGAATGAAGATGGGACTGATTTGTGTGAGTCTGAAAGAGAGTAAAAATTATTAAATTAGAGAGATTAAAAATATATTTAAACTTTAATTTTTCTTATCAAAACCAAATAATTCACACATGTTACAATAAAATTTTATTAGTCACTCATTTAATCAATAAAATCTATTTATTAAAATATAAAATAGAACTCATCAAAATATATACAATTAATTCTATATAAATTGTAATGATAAAATTGAAAGAGATTTATCTTTATCGTTTTACCTATATTTAATCAAGAAAACCATGTATTACGAAGTTGAACCATGCACCAAAAATCAATAGATACGGCATGTAAGTATAAATATTTTGATTTCATCATATTTAAAATGGTACTTCGTGCACTGAGTTTTGTTATTCTGATCGTAGATCTGATGGAGACAAAATAACACAAAATTTATTAGAAGAAAAAAATAAGACATTAAAGATAATATAAATGACTAAACATGATGGTTAACTGAGATTTTTCATATATATAATATTGGCTTGATCCCAACAAAATCGCATCAAATGTGTTCCTCTCATACCTGTCACCAAATCCAATCCAATAGACATGCACATACATATTTTAAACATATAAATCAATAGTAGGTAGGTGGATAGTGAAAAACTAAAAGAAAACAAAAATTATTTTCAACGGCGGCGTCGATGTCGATATGCTGTCAAAATGAATTCAGTACCTATTTATAAGTAGTTATCTGGTCGGGTTTATTATTAGGTTAACTTCATATTTTAGGAAAATTTTATCTCATACCCTTACAATTATACTCATACCTTTACACAAAATTTTTTTGAACCAAAATACCTTCGTATAAATAATTATAATTTTTTTGTTTACCGGAAGACTTTAGTATGTCTTCCGGTTTATATTTTTTTTCGTTTCCAAATCTTCCGTTTTATTTTTTTTCGTTTGTTCACCGGAAGTTTTTTGCAAGTCTTCCGGTTCACTTTTTTTTCGTTTGTTCACCGGAAGACCAAAGGTCTTCCGGTTCATGTTTTTTTTTAAAAAAAATTTTGTTGACAGTGATGCGCACACGAGACAGAGACGGTAGGATCCCTTCTCGCAGATTAGGACGAAGTGAGTAATCGAGAATGACTGAAGAAGAGCATATTGATGCATCTGCATCAGGAACCGAGCCTGTTGGATATCCAGAAGTCTTTATTTAACACAAACAGGAAGTCTTTGTTTAACTCTTCCGGTAAACAAACTTAGTCCAAAAAATTTTAGTGTAGGAATATGGGTATAACTGTAGGGATATGGAGTAAAATTTCCAAGTGAAATTTTTTTAAAATTATAAATATTTAAACATGGGTATTTTAATCCAATATTTTTTAATATATGGGTGTGAGTATAAGTGTAGGGGTATGAGGTAAAATTTTCATTCTTCAAATAACATTTCAGCCCGTATTAGGCCCAAAAAGCCCATAGCCCATTCTGATGCATACCTAAACAACATTGCAACAAAACAAAAAAAATTCCCATTATTTCAGTGTCACTGCCTCCACTTCCATGATTCAACATTCTCAACAATTTTGAAAGCTCTCACCTTTCGAGCTTTCACCATTCGCCCAAGTCTTCTTTCAATGATGCTGCCAAGTAACTCTTTTTTCTTCTAAACCCTTTTTCTCGTAACACTGTGATTTTGTTATTTGTTTTGTTTCACGTACAATCAAAGTGGTGTGTTATTGCTTTGGTGCTTGTGTTTTGAGATTGTTTTGAAAGCGTTAAGAGTTTAGTGTTGAGGATAATGTCTACTGATGAAATTTTAAGGCAGAAACTTAGAAGAAAGCCTAAAGTTGCTGTTAGAATTTCTAGGAATTCGTTGAGAACCAGTGTTGATGGAAATGGTTTTAACAAGGGTGAGGGTTTTGATAGAGAAAATGGGTATAAGGGGAGTTTGAAGAAAAGGGTGAACTTTAATGGAGTGCAATCAGGTGAAGAAAGGAGTAGAGGGAAGTTTTATGAGAGAGGAAAAATTGATGATAGAGAAAATGGGTTTAATAGGAAGTTTAAGAAAAATGTGAACTTTAGAGAAATAGAATCTGGTGAAGAAAGGGGTGGGGGGAGGTTTCATGATAGAGGAAATTTGAGAACTAGAAAAGGTGAAAGTCGATTTAGCAGTGATGAGAGTTTTGATAGGGAAAATGGGTATAAGGGGAGGATGAAGAAAAATGTGAACTTTAGAGGAATGGAATCAGGTGAAGAGAGGAGGGGTGAGAAGTTTTATGAGAGAAGAAAGTTGAGAACTTCTAGGGACTCGTCGAGAACTAGAAATGATGAACACCGTTTTAACAACGATGAGGGTTTCGATAGGGAAAATGGGTATAAAGGGAAGTTGAAGAAAAGTTCGAACTTTAGAGATGTGGAATCAGGTGAAGATAGGAGTGGTGAGAAGTTTTACGAGAAACGGAAGTTGAGTACTTTGGATTCTTTTGGGAGGAAGAAGAGAGTGTATGCTAAGGAAGGAATGGATGAAAGCGGCAAGATATGGAGTGGTGTAGAAATATCCAAGAAGAAAATTTCATTGAAGAAAGGAGAGAAGAAGGTGAGAGATGAAACATTGGAAGAGAAAATTGTGGAAGAGAAAATCGATGATGACCGTACAATTTGGGATTTATCTAAATTGAAGAAGGCAAAATCCAAAGACAAATTTTCTAATCAAAGTTTGAAAGACAATAAAGAAATGAATGGGACAGATGATTGTGGAAGAAAGTTGAAGAAGAAGAATGTAGAAAAAAAAACTGAATTTAGCTATGGGAAAATCAAAGAAACTGCATTGCCTTCAAGTTCGGACATGAAAGAACCAGGGTTGGATGATGATGCCAAGAAACTTGAAGATCGCCGATACAAGAAAAAGAAAAGGCTGATAAAGATTGATCCATATGATATTTCAAACAAGAGACTAGACGATGCCATTGGTGTTGATGGTAAATATTTTATCTTTCTGCTTTGTAATATTTTCCTTTACAACTGAAAAATGTATCTTGTAATCTTACTGTTTATTTATTTTTTAATTTTTTATTGACGTATGATTTAATTTTGAATAATTCAACGGTATTAGTTATCATAACACTCTTAACTATAATGTATGACATGTGCAAATGATGTTAGCCGTGTGAGTTAAGTTTTAGTGCTTATCTGACAAAATGACTTACATTTTCTTAGAAGACAAAACCAAAGCATCTTATATGGCAACAGATTATCAAATAGCGGCGCAATGGCCGCTATGGTGGATATGCATGGCGGTTTTTGGGATCGCCGCAATGGTAAATATTGGCCGATATTGCGGGTTTTTCTGCCATAATCTGCTACAACAGCGTCGCAAAGCGGTCGATATGGCGGGATTTTGGCTCTCCGCCATGGACCGCCATCGACAACACTGTATGGAAAACACTACTTGGCACGATTTAGAAATGACTTTAACAATATGGCAGAAATAATGTTTATTTTCACCTTACTTGAGTCTACCTTGAGTTTGATTCCACAAGTTAATTTCAGGAAATAAAGAAGAGAAGAAAAAGGATTCTGAGAAAGAGCGCGAAATGTCACAGAACGCCCAATTCCGCGCAATACAGCCTAGCCCTTCAATACTTACCTTCGTGGAAAAAAATGTAATTTGTATGAAGACTTTTGATAGTCATGTGCTTTATGTCAATACTCCCTCCGGTCCTTTTTACAAGGTACACGTCACTTTTCTAGATTCATTAAATAATTAATGTATCTGGTCTATAATGCAGATCAGGTGCATTAATTATTTAATGAATCTAAAAAAGGTGAAATGTTCCTTATAAAAAGGACCGGAGGGAGTACACCATTTCCTTGAAGGCATTTTGATTTTTTTCGTATTTGAGTTATTATTCACAGATGTTGGGTAGGAGACGCATGATTGATATAAAAAGGGCAGGCTACAACATAGAACTTCCTTCACCATTAGATAATATTCCCTTCTCTAAAAGTTCAGAAAGAGAGAATATTGAAGAAAATGTATGTCGCCGTTTATTGCATTGAAAACAATTATTTGTACATTTAGAATAATGATTTCTGTGGATTTTAATTACTGTTGTGATTCTTTGTTCCTGTAATTTGAAACAGGTTTTTAGGAACAGATTGGAGTTTTTCGCTGCTGCAAAAGTTTCATCGTCATTTCCACCTCCTAATCTTCCAGAGATTGCATTTGCAGGTAGAGTTTTAATTCTCAGAATTCATCATTGTATCATAGCAGTAGCAGTTGCGGTAGTGGTAGTAGTTGCTTAGAGAAACATGTTAAATGATTATTTTTTTTCTGAATGTGTTCTTGCTAACAGGAAAGTCAAATGTCGGTAAATCGTCTCTTCTTAATGCACTCACTAGACAATGGGGGGTTGTACGGACATCGAACAAGCCTGGCCATACTCAGGTATTCTAGTAGTTCTTAACTGTTGATTCATGTGGAGTTACATGTTGTTGATAGATGAATTTCGTTACTAACAACTTGTGAATTATTTGCAGACAATTAACTTCTTCAGCTTGGGAACAAAGCTTAGCTTAGTTGATTTGCCGGGATATGGATTTGCGTATGCAAAAGAAGAAGTTAAAGAAGCTTGGGAGGACCTTGTAAGCATGCAAATTATATCAAAATTTCAATCTCTTTTGGTAGTTTGCTTCTTTCCGTTTTACATGTAAATACAACATGGAAATGATTGAAATCGTTTTAGATGTTTTGTCGATTGGAGTTGGAGTTGCCTTATATATATTATAATTATAATATAAATACTGATTAGTTGTATCTAGGTAAAGGAGTATGTTTCAACACGAGTTGGTCTCAAACAAGTGTGCCTTCTGATTGATACAAAATGGGGCATGAAACCAAGAGATCATGAACTGATTGAATTAATGGAAAGGTAATTCATACAATAGCAATTGGTGCCATGCACCTTTTCTATATTTCATTGGGATAGTTACTAGTTTACTCTCTGATCACTAAATGTATGTAACGGATGATGTCAATTTGCAGATCAAAAACTAAATACCAGATAGTATTAACTAAGACAGACACAGTTTTTCCAATCGATGTTGCACGACGCGCCATGCAAATTGAAGAGGTAATAAACATTGACCCTCCATACTTTCTCTAGAAAATGAATGTTCTTTTTTTGTGTGGATATTAACAAGTTTCTGCATACTTTTTGACAGAGTCTCTTGCCGAACAAGTCTGTAATTCAACCTCTGGTAAGATTGATTCTTCTGGTAGATTTGTTCTAAGTTCTAACCTTTTCGCGTACTCTTTGTTGACATTATTGTTGGGAGGAGTGAGTAAGGTCTGTATTTTTGTGATGCGCCTATTGCAGATGATGGCCAGCTCGAAATCTGGAGCAGGAATCAGAAGCTTGAGAACCGTTCTTGCCAACGTAGCTCGATTTGTCAAAATATAAAAAACATATAATAAGTTTTTCTTTTTCCCTTCCATTTGTGTTGCTGAAGTTTTTATGGTCATAGCAACATGCATGTATATAATAAATTAAACATGTTTATTGGTGAAATGTAACAAACAAGACAGTTTTTTGGATGTATCAATCACTAATATATATGTTTCAACTGATATTTTAATCACTTATTTGGGAATTCATTTTTGTTAATAATTTCAAAATTGCATTCCCTTGTTGGTCAAATGAAAATGGATGCATGCATGCTTCCCACTCCTTTCTAAGTGCTTACAGCATAAATACCTAACTTCACGCCGCCTGGCCAATCCGAACGTTATTTTTTATTACTAATTTAATTTTTTTTCATGAGGTTGTGTTTGGAGGATAAGCATGCTGCTGCATTGAAATTCTTTTAACCATTACACCTTTATATATGGAGGCCCTATTAATTATAATAGTACACTAACAGCATTTAATATTTTTTCTTTATTATCCTTAATCTTCATTAAAATTCTAAAAAACTCTACAAAATGAAAAGTAAAATCTGAATAAAATATCATACACTTTTCCTATTCTTTATTTCATCACACTTGCCTAAAATGAAATCTGAAAGTTTATGAATGGATGCTCGTCAATGAAGTTGCGTATGAAAATGTGATGAAAAAGAAAAAAAAAACTTTTTTTGTTGTTTAAGGTTTGGGTTAAAGTAATTCATCTTGAAGCAACTGACGCATTAATTCCTTTGCCAATACATGTGTACAATTTAAAAAGGAACCATCTAATATTTTTTTTTAAGATAGTATATTAAAGTAAAATATTAAATTAAGTTAAAGAAATTCGTCAATGATTTTTTAATGGAAGAAACAACATTGTAGCATTGTTTTGGCACTCTGATGTGTTTTTAAAATGTGCTAATGGGAAACAAATAACAATAGGAAGATGACGTTGACGTTGAATAAAAACTAATACATATTGAACAAAGGAAAATATTAATTCTACAATAAACAGTGGAAAAACATTATATTAAAAATTATAAATTTTCTCTCAGATTTTGAAGATACATCTTTTGAAAGACCCTTTTCTTTATTTAAAATGTAAAATTGAGTCACATCCAAAATATATTTTAAAGTTTAATTTGAAGATGCATTTTCAAAATAATTTAATATACACTCCATGCATCCCTTTCTGAAACACTAAAAGTGAGTCACACACTTAATATATTTTTTAAAATTTAATCTAGAGATGCATCTCCAAAATAATTCAATATACACCACATGCATCACTTGCTGAAACGCCCAATTTTATCATAGATTGTTTCAAAAATGCATCTTCGTATTCACACCATACATAATCTAGAGATGCATTTCTGTAAACAAACCAAACCAAACAGTATTTTATAAGTTAGTTTTAGTGATGCTGAGATGAAATTGATGATATAATGAAAGAATACTATGATGAATTAGACCATACTATCAATATGCAAAAAATGACATATATAAAATACTAAATTCAGAGTACACAATAAAGTCCAAATAAGTTAAAATAAAATACAACCGAAAATAAATCCAAACTACAAACACTTAAACTATTATATGACAAATTCGGACTCAGGACCCCATGTTCCTTCGATGCCTCCTATACTGCAGTGCCTCCCGTGTCTCCTCCATCGTGGAATCTACAATGTCCATGAAAAACTCAACAACGTGATCCACCCTAGTCTACTCCTCATCTAGTATATCCTAATGAGTTAGCCTCAGTGAATCTCCTGGAGCATCCTGTATCATATAAGGATGAGACCAAATGTAATCTTCTATGTAGCTCCAGTCGCTCTCAGCTATAGTACTTCGTGCCTCCTCTGACTAGATGATTAGAATAACCATCAAACATATCATATATATCTCTACGTGTCATAGCGAGACGATCTGAAAAAAAATGGTCTCTGGGAATATATTGCATGTAGCCAAACTGTCGCATGATGCGCTCAGGCAGATAAGAAAACATCATACATGAACCGCAAGCCAACTATCTAGAGTATAAGAGATACTCAAGAGATTCAGGATGGAAGACTTGAATCATACATCCTCACCTGTCGAACTAAATTTAATGTTGGAGAAGCATGGAGAGGAAGACAAAGTCGATGCTACTTTGTTCAAACAAATTGTCGAAACTCTGAGATATGTGTACAACAATCGGTCTAATATAGGTTTCTCAGTCATATTAGTGAGCAGATACATGAGTAAACCAATGGTGTCACATATGAAGACTACAAGAACAATCCTAAGATACTTAAAAGTATCGACAAACTATGAAATTCTATTTCCACAAGATTCTGAAAGCAAAGAAGATGAGATTACTTACAATTCAGCTGCTGATTGACGTGGAGATTAGGAAGATCGAAGAAGCAGAACTGATTATTTTTTTCAAGTATTTGGTCCCCCAATCTCATGGAGCTTGAGAAAGCAACCTGTGGTGGCATTATCATCATATGAGACTAAATATATAGCAGGATCCTATGTTGTGTATCAAGCAATTTGGATCTGATTTGTGCTGGAAGAGATAGAGGTCGAAGTGAAGAAATCTTTGGTACTGCAGATCGACAACAAGTCAAACATTAATTTTGTAAAGAATCTGATTTTGCATGGAAGGAATACGCACATTGAAGCGAGATTTTATTTTCTAAGGGAAAAGGTAAATCAAGGTGAACTTGAAGTAAGACATTTCTCGAGTGAAGTATAATTCGCTGACATTTTCACCAAAGGATTGAAGATTGACAGATCCCAACTTTGAGAAAGAAATTAAGAATAGTTCAGATCGACTATGATTAATTTGTGTTTGACAACTTGAACTATAAGGGGTCATGTTGTGATATAATCAAAGTTGTAGTTCAAGTCCAAATTTATTAGGATTAGAGTTTGTTACGTAGTAGTAGTAGTAGTGTGTGTGTGTGTGTATATATATATATATATATATATATATATATATATATATATATATATATATATATATATATATATATATATATATATATATATATATATATATATATATATATATATATATATATATATATATATATATATATATATATATATATATATATATATATATATATATATATATATATATATATATATATATATATATATATATATATATATATATATATATATATATATATATATATATATATATATATATATATATATTCATTACAACAATATTCAATAATAATAAGTATCTCGCGCACTAATAAAATAGACTATATTGACTAACATAATATTTTTCAAAGGATTAAAAAGTAATATTTTTTAAATAAATGACTAAAGTGAAATCTTAAAATTATGATAAATGTTATGAAGAGTCCAAGGCTCACTAGTGATAAAAAAAATATACGTTTTATTAAAGTATTGTGTTACTATTAATTAGGGGGTCCAATTAGTATTTCATTTCTTTGTTTTGGGTCGTTCTACAGTTTAGGCCCATAGTTAGTTATCAAGTTGAACCCTAACTATTTATTGTCATGTCTTTGATATTTGGAAAAGAGAAAAAATTCTGAAAAGTTTTATGTCTTATGCATTTATCTTCCTTCACCATTTTAGATCTATTGATTAACTTGGTGTAACCTAACATTGGTGCTTTCATCTTGCACTCATGGCTCTTATTAAACCCTCAAGCCTTTCTTCTAGAGAAATTATAGAAGAAGCTGTTCAAACAGCTCATATTTACCTTGACAATACTATGAACTAAACCCAACAACAACTTGATGAAAGGTTTGATAAAGCTATTGCAGATCTGCAGAAACATGTTGGACAGATTTATACAAGGTTTGACAATGATAAGCAGATGGCAGACTCGCACTATGACTCGATCATGTCCATTCTCAGCAAGTTGGCTGTAAAAAAGGAGCAACAACATTCTGCAACTGTTCTTATAGCAGCTAGCTCATCAGGTATAACTCAAAACCCTAGCTCTACACCTATGAGTACAACTCTCATGTCCAATGTTGTCACCCCTACAACTACTCCCACTAGACACTCTACAATTTTTTTCCCATACCCATATTATTCCTACAACATTTAGACAAACTGTCGCACCACCATCACCACTTTATCCACCCTACATTCCCACCCCTACAGCTTTTGCAGCCACACAAAACTATAATCTTCCTTTTTTCACCAAACCCCATTCACCCCCATCCCACATATTTCGTCTTTACCCCCTTTCTGAACCCCTAAATTGAAACTTGCTTTATTTGATGGTTCAAACCAATTAGAGTGGTTATTTCAAGCTGAACAGTTTTTCACTTTTTATCAATTACCACCAGAAAATAGATTATCCTTAATTTCCTTACATATGAAAGGTGGTGATTTTTGTTGGTTTAAATGGATGCACCAAAACCATTTTTTAACAGATTAGAGTTCCTTTACTAAAGCTTTAGAATTACGTTTTGGTCCGTCGAGGTACGATAATCATCAAGGTGAATTATTAAAATTAACTCAAAATAATTATGTTGTGGATTATCAAACTAAGTTTAAGCAATTGGACAATCATGTTGTTGGTTTACCACCTAATGCAATTTTAAATTGTTTCATTTCTGATCTCTTTACCAACATTCGCAATAAAATGACAATCCATAAACCAACATCTATATCAACTTAATCACTCGTTAATAAATAAACTATTAAACTTGAATTTCATTAAATGCGAAATAAAAGTCAAACTATATATATCATTCTAATTAATTCAGAAATAAAGAGTAAATTTTTAGATATGCTAGGAAATTGCTCAAGTTGAAATAATGCCAATTTCCTCTTGTGTACAATGAACTAATATCAAGTGGCCAACTATCAATCACCATTATCTTAACCCACAAACATTTTATATCTAATATTTGACTAAATTTGATTGGAAGAAAGCCAACAACCCACGTGGCTTTTTCCCTTATGCATCATTCACTACTCTCCACTAATCAATACACAAAACATTATTTAATTTTGAAGACTTTTAACAAAAGCACTCAAAGAACATTATTAAGGTTTAACTAGTCCCCTTAATCCCCTACTTCTAACTAAGCCATAATATTCAATCAAATTCTTCAAAGAGATTGATTGAAAAACAAAAAATGTGCCCTCTGAGGGTTCTTCTGATTTTCTTGTCCGCAACACTCGCCGGATTCTTCGTTCTCAGAAATCTAAGATCTCAACCAAAGATCGACGATGATGAAGATGCTGATTCAACTCTTCCTTCAAACCCTAAAATCTTAGATTCTTCAAATGCTGCATCGAATGGAAATTCCAAGGTTAACCCATTTCACCCTTTTGCTTCAATTTTAATAAAAAGGATGTTTTTGAAATTAACCCTAAATTTTGTGATTCTAGGTTTGGAATGTGTTAGAATCTGGGTTTTGGACCTTTGTTGATATGGCCAGTGGGCGTTATCTTTGGAGGCATGTGGTTTCAGCATCTTCTTCAAAGCGCTCCAGTTGATGATCGTTGTCAATGATTGCAAATTTGCATTTCGGGTGATTGATTAATGTCAATATCAATGTCATTTGTCTTTGATATTGTAATATTTGGAGCAATTTGCACGTCTTTGTAATCTGTGTATCATATCTGTTGTTCATAGTATTTTGTTGTTGGTTTTGAATTTGCAATACAAACAATGATGATGATGATGATAATGATGATCTTGATAGATGTCAAACATATAGATAGATTGTGTACTTTTACTGTTTCTGTTATGGATTTGAGATGTTTCTTGTTTTCATGTGAAGTTATAGATTTCAATATGGGTCTTTTACTGGGTACTTTCTTTTATGGTCATGTGAATGGAAGTTTAGAGTGCTCTCAATAGAGAAGTATAAGGTTCTTATCATGTTAATGTTGATGAAAAGGTATAAGCATTGATGTAGGAATAAATAGTATAGGTGAGTTGTTGCATTTTCTTGGTCAAAATTTATATCATTATATGAGATAGGCAGACAAGGTGGTAGGCAGTGTTATCAAATATCCACAATTGCGGCGCTAAGGCAGATATATGTGATGGCTTTTGGGCTCGCTGCAATTGTAAATAACGGCTGATATTGCGGGTTTTCTGCTATAATGGCGCCGCAAAGCTTCCTGTGTGGAAGGATTTTGGCTCCCAGCCATGGACCGCCGTCTGCCATGGTCAACACTGGTGGCAGGATAACTTTGGGCAAGATAGGTTCTGGATTTTGGCTCCCAGCCATGGACCGCGTTCTGATAGTTGATTTAGAAGAATTTGTGTGAATATATATTAGCTTCATTTTGATGAAAAATATTTTACACTGAATATATATTATTTTTTCTCATAAGTATAAAAAAAACCTAACATTTGTAATGATATACATGGTTTCATTCTTCACTCATGGGTCTTGTAACAAAGTGTTGATTGAGGAACATAAACTTGTCTTAGATTCAAGCTCTATAGGCCTTGATCTTTTGCAAATCCGTCCTTCACGTTGCAATAACCATTTGCAAATGGTCAGTACTCACTACAATCATTAAGAGATATCTTTTTGGGTTATAATGATGAACTTATAAATTAGAGAATGGTTAGTGAAGTGAATGAAATATACATGGAACGTGATTAGTTAAATGCTTGAGCTTGTGTTGAATGTGTTTGGAAAGCATATATCATCCAAGTCCAGAGAGCTTTGATGTGATTAAGAAAAGACTATGGATATAAATTGAATGAGAGCTTGAGCAAACCTTACACGAAATTATGGGAATAAAATTGTGAGAGCTTATTTTCCGCCCTTTAAACCTATTTGTTTGGATAAAAAATACTCATTGAATTTTATAATTTGGCGTGTGTTTTTAATTTTTTTCCCCCAAATAACCCATATTTTCAATTTTATTCTCAAAATAATCTAGGTTTCAATTTTTTTTTATAAACCTACCCACTTTCAAAACAAAAAAATTGAAACGTAGTAGTGACGTCAAGCGAATTGACGACTTCACATGCTTTTTTAATGGCGGTGTCAATTGGATTGACAGCTGCATCAACCTCTTAACACCCGACCCCTAAAAAATTGAAATACATCGAGAAATCGCTTCTGGTTCATCCTGTATCGCTAGTTATGCTTACCAATAATGGCTCACTTGAATCTCTTGATTCAATGGCATGGTTCAATAGAGCAATCACACCATCTTCGCGAGCATTTCAACAACCTAGGCTCAGACTGCCATTACAATTCGCGCTGGTCGATGTCTCGAGTTGTTTGGCTGACCGACACAAAGCACTCACATTAGGCCGAGACACATCGTTGGTCCTCATCTGATTCTCACCTGACAATTCAAGCACTATTTGAGTTTCTTTTCAAAGTTTTTTTTATCTTTCCCTCGAAGTACTTGTTCCTATCAATCTTTCGTCAATATTTAACATTGAACGAAATTTACCGCCCGATTGGGGCAACAATCTGACTCGTCGACAACGCCTTGTGTTGCGACAGGGTCTGAGCACAACGAGGCTCTCTCCTTCTCCGGCACCCCCTTTTAGTGGACTTAGGCCCGGTTCGTTGCTGAGGACGTTTCTCCATACTACAATTCGATTGTCAAGGGCGACCGATTCTCATAATAAGCTTATCATGGTTCACTTGTCGTTATTAAGGGAGTCCTTATTAGTTTTTTTCACACCGAAGGCCGATATAACCAACCTGATTGTCCTCGTTAGTGTTAATTCTGTTTTCGTATGTAAACATAATTAAATATTATTTTATTTTTATATAATATATTGTTTTTAAAATTTTAAAAAAATACAATAGACACTGGCGCCAGATGAATTGTCGTCACCATTGAAAGTTTATACACTAGCACTAATTGAACTGACAACACCATATATAGGCGCCAATCCAATTGACGCCAGTATTAAAAAAATGGGTGAAATCGTCAATTCGCATGGCGCCACCATTGCGTCTCAATTTTTTTTATTTGAGAATGAAGTAGATTGAGATTTTTTGAAATTTTGATTATTTTAAAAATAAAATTGAGAATGTGTGTTATTTAGGTAAAAAAAAATCTGTATTTTTGAAACTTTTAGATTCTTAAATTCTAAAATCTAAACCCTATCAATATATCTTGATTAGAAATAAAAATTCATATTCACTCCTTTTTTCTCTTCATTTTTCTAGTGCCACTAACAAGCTATTAAAAACATGAAATACATATTTCAAATGACAATCAAATCATTAATGGATCTCAATTCTCAAACACATCTGAATGATAAGATAATTTAACTGTAGAAAAGCTTTATTGAAAATAAATATGTGTATAGTTATAGATTGATTGCTAAATCTAAAACTCAAAAAAAAAAAGAAAGAATTTTTAGACTCATTCAAATTTCAATAAATTGTTTGATAGTTTTTAGATTGTTTTGGTGATGGATTTCCTTTACAAAATCAACAAATATCATTTAACATTGTTTGAGTTTGTAAGTGTTATTTCTACTAAAACTAGTAAAATACCCGTGAGTTTGCAAGTGAATGAGAAAAAATATGAGATATGATATTAAAAGTTATCATGTAACTCAAGTTGATTTAACACATATTTTGTTATGGAAATTTTGTTAATAAAAGTAATTTTAATTGAATTATTCTATATTTGTGTTCATTATAAAATTTTAGAACTTTGTGTTTTTCTACGTCAAAAATCAGCATAAAAAGTTCAAACGGTATTTTTTTTATGTTTATTTTTTATTTTAGTTTAAATTATTTTTAAAATAAAAGAAATTGAATGAAAGAAGTGTGCAAACCACCTTATAATAATTAGTAAAAGAGAAATTGAGATTTAAAATAAAAATTGAAAAGAGTATAATTGGAACAAAACTTGACTACACTAAAACCAAATTTTCCATTTATATATGTTATAGATTATAAATTATTGGACTCTCATTATTATAAATATAAAAGAGCACTTCTTAATCCACCCTTTAATACTCTTAGACACCTAGCGCATTTCCTTTTACGCCTCCTGCTTCAGGAGATACATATCCGGACGCACATTTATTTTGTGCCAAAATTTAATTTTTTTTCAGAGTTACATCTATGGAATAATTTTAAACTGGTAAACACTGAAAAAAAATCAAAATAATTTAATTCAGTGAAGCTTCCACAGATGCACCTTTGGAACGTCTAAGCGCCAGATTGTTCCGTATATACAACTCCAGAAGTTTCTGCAATATTTGAAATTTGCATAATCACTCCCCATTGTTGTGTTTTCTTCTTCCACACCCACCTTCACCAACCTAAAAAACCCTACATTCTCAATATCATCAATGTAACGCCGATGACATCTTAGAGATGTGCAAACGTCCACCCGATTATTGAAATATAGTATTTAAATTTCTGTTGAAATCATCAATGTAACGCCGATTTTATTTTATAAATGTTAATTTTATCTTTGCAATGTTGATTTTCTAGTATTTTGTTTCTAGTTTTCTTCCATAAATATGCATACAGAAATATTCGATAGATGTATCTATGAAATTAATTAAAAAAACTGGAAAAAAACGTGCATTCGGAGATACATCTCTTAAATCAAAAGAATATTTTAGACAGAGCGCATAGTGTCTAAGGATAGGAAAAAAAAACTCTAATATAAGATTGAAAACAATAATTTATGAATGATAGACATGGTATCACCATTTTTCGAATGTTTATTTCAGAAAACAACTTCTACTTTAAACTGTTTTCAAGTAGTTTAGTTTTCATAATCATACACATTTAATTTGAAAAAAAAATAATTAACTTAAACTTTATATATGAACACACTTGTAGTTATTAAATGAAATATCTATAGGACTGCATTCAATACATTTAGTGAAATAAATTTTAGAATTTTATTGGAAACATTTTACTCAAAATATAGAATTTGTTTAAAATGTATAAGTATCAATTATTTATTATATCAATTATTTAAAATGTATAAGTTTACACTAATTGGAAGAAGATGTGATTTGACGATGATGGTGAAGACTTAGAGGAAGGTCATCTAAATATATATCTTCTCATAAAATGGAATGTTATTCAAGTGTGTTTATGTGATATTATAACTATTTTATGGTATATATAACTCAATTTTCTTTTTGTTACTGATATATTTTGGATTTTCAAATTCAAATAGTTATTTTGATTGTTCAGATTATAGAACTCGAATTACACGGGTAACAAATAAGAACAATTTTATTTGTTTGTTTAAAAAACATAACACATGTTTATACACCACATGCAAACTTTAAAATTGTTGACTATAATATGGGGGAAATTTTATCAATTTATTTTCCCTGAAATAATTTCTTTATGTCCACCTACAAGGAAGGTTAATACAAAAGGTGTATTAAATAGGGGTTATTCTAGTCGGAATGATCGTTCTAATAAGTGTTCACCGTAGTTCTTTGAGCATGTCGACTCTCTATATCTAAATAACAGGTTTTATAGTTAAATTCATCATGTTCAACTAGAAATAGTGCATGTGATAATAATCGATCACTTAAACCTCTTTCAAAATAAAGGGCCTCTGTATATGCATTATTTTGAAAATGTCATTGATGTTGAAGGGAATGGACATTAGCGGAATATGTATCATATCTAGGTTACTTGGGTAATATCTTGAATATCATTTTATCATTTATCTAAATCTTTTAATAAAGTTGTTGTGAATTGATGTCGTCAAGAACAAACTAAAATATGAGAAAAAAATTGAGTTCATTAAACAAACACAAGAAATCCTATTAAATTTTCAAAATGGAGAGAATAAAGAAGAAAAATAAGAATTGTTTAAAATTGTTTTACTATTCACTTTCTCAATAAGGGTTCAAAGATTACAAGTGAATACCAACAATTAACATCTCTCAATAACCTGAGAGAACTAGTCTATTCATAGACTACTAAGCTAACTTAACAACTGAGCTTAGAAGTAAGACCCAATTCTGCATAGTAACTTAAATTACAAGTTAATATATTTCGACATTATACTTGAACAGACTTCGACTACATCATACACAACTTATGTTGAGTCATGAAGCTATCCTTGTCAACACTAGAGTTCGATCCAAATATCACAAATCTCCACCTTAGAACAAGCTCTACATTAACAAAGGAACAAACTAGCTTTTATCATGCAACTTTATCAACTGCATACAGTGGAAAAACTTGCTACTCAATAATGTCTTGGTGATCATATCAACAACATTGTCATCAGTCGAAACCTTCAGCACTTGAGATTTTTCTTTAACTTCATCTTGGTTATGCAATTCAGCATCCCTATGCTCCACCTCAACAAGAATCTCTTCCGATACGACAATGTGCTGGCAAAAGCAGGTATTGCCCACATTTATCTATTTTCTATAAATTATGCGGAATTCTCGTGATAGAAGTGACTTGGATTTTACAAATGTGATAGAGTGTGTGCCATAACTAGGTCATGTTTGCCTCAATTGGAAATTAAGTGATTTTGAAATTAAACTATTTTCATTTAAGTGTTTTTTTATTTAAGCTGTTATTTTTTTAATCAAAACTCATATTATTAATTTCTATAGATATACACCGATAGGACATAATTCAGTACTTTAACCATTGGTCTATGTGGTTCGGTGATTTTTTAGTACTTCGCACAGTTGTGCACTTGCGGTGTGTCAAACATCATCCCGACTAACAACAGTCAGGAAAAAGAGAGAAGCCTTTCGGTAAGTATAGAAAGTTGCCTCACAAAAGAGTTTCATCTTCTCTGCATTAAAAACGTTATGGTGGTACGTTAGATCTTCCTCAGATATTTAAGCAATGGCCTCATTGAGAAATGCATGGAATTCGTTATGGAAGATTGGCCGGAAACTTAAGAAGAGGTGTACATGACCCGACAAAAGCACCCTTGGGAAACCGATCCCGTTTTACTAAATCTTCATCTTGAGGAGGACTTTGTTCCCGATATTGATCCCTCTTGCTATTGACAGAAAGAGAAGAAGCCAACTCTCAACAACTACAACAACAGCCCCTGCAGAAGGATGGTCCCGACTAAAGGAGTCCGAAGAAATTTCAGTAGCAACAGACGTGCTAGGACTACCTAAAGGAAGAGTATGGGTTCGAGCCACACAAGTCGTAACGACGACCTTAGTCTCGCGTTTTTTAGGCTAATAAAAAACTTTCTTCAAGGAATTTATCTTATCTTCTAATACAATAACATCCTATCTAAAAAAAGTGACAATGAAGGGATGCCTCTTTATCCTTACCAAAAATCTCTTTTCTTTCCATACTATTGACCGCTTCCACAATAGCACGGGTGTCAATTAATAACCTTCTATGCACGAAGGGCTTTGCCTCGGAATGACTAAACCCATTTTCATAGTTGAGACCTTCATGGAAAGCATCAAGGTCTTTCTTCATCTAAACCTCTTCGAGAGTACAAGAATCCAAAGGGATGGCATACTCGTGAGGCTCACATTTAAATTGGACTCAAGCCTAATACTTTCAAAACCTATATGTACATGTACTATGGGTAAAGTCTTGAAAACCAACAAGGAAATAAAGCTCATTGGGAACCTGGAAGAAAGTGGAGTGATCTCCTAAAGTATGTGGCTTTACCAATACTAAGAGATCCCAAAAATAATCATAACTCTCGGCCTAAGTAGTAAACTAGGGAATATTCTCACTGAGTGAGATGAACCTTTGATTTCCGATGCTATTATGTGAAGTGTTCATTATAGCTAAAAGATGGAAGAAACAGTCGGTATGAGGGTTTCCATAATCGATAATCAACCCAAGATTGGAACACCCTTATTAGGGCCTAGGCACTTGGGTGAAATTGCAAGGGGAAATCTTCAAGAACATTAACTCATTCTCTTCAAATTCGGTCAAAGGTAGCCGCAAATTTATCTAAGTACACAGACACTCGTAGAAAGGGATAGATCATTCCCAAAAAATGCTACAAATCCTTTTTCATGACTCCACAGGAATAACCTACCGATTAGGAAGACGACCTACTTCAATGATAGCCCCTCTCACGTACGCGAGACTATTTAAAATAGAAATGGGCCCCAACATTTTGGATTCCAACCAGATATACTTACTTTCATCAACTGGCTTGACAATAACGATACTTCTTTGAGGAACCTCATTAGCCCGAAGTATTGGACGATCTGAGCCAATCGACACCAGTAAGCAGAGTCCCGCGGGAAAAATAATGCCTAATTTCAGCATCACTTAGATCCCAACCAAAGGTGAACCGATAAACTCTGATGAAAATGTGAACCTCTTAATTATTCAAGGTAGTAACTTCCACCACGGTGAAGTTAAAGTAGAAAAAATTGAATTCCCGACGGCCGCAAATAGAGCTGGTGTAGGGCTTACTGCGCGATCACTTCAAGCATCATCATTAGAAATGAGAGAGCTGAAAGAAGATTCATCCATGGAAGTTTTTATATCAAGAGAATCGCTGGAGAATCTCTTCAATTCAGGATTATCATACACAATTATAATGACTATGGCGAAGTGACTATTAATTGAAACGTTGGAGTTCGAACTAGCAGATGTTTCTATTCTAACTAAAGAAGATGAATCATTATTTCCAGTATCACTAGACAAGTTTACAATATGATCATTTATGTGAGTCATAGCAAAAATAGCGAATGGATATGATAAAATAAGCTCATGGCAAGAATGGTACATAGGGAGAATGGAGGCAGACGAATAAGGTCTAAATTAAATATAGAATGGGAAAGCTTCGTTCCAAAGAAGACATTAAGCAAAGGCTTCTGGAAAGAAAGGAAATCACTCACACAAAAGGGAAGCTAACTTTCAGGAATGAGGAGAAATTTAGCTAAAACATCAGGAAACCCTTTTATAGAAAGAGCAAGCAGCGAGTCAGATTAAAAGAAGATGAAAAGTTAATAATCAACGACCAGATTTCACCACGAGAATACATGTGAACTCAAGTGCACTCGAATGTCCTAGAGATGAGCGTCAATTGAAAAATCGACGAACGTCTTAATGATGTGAAATGTATTTAATGCACCTGTTCCCCATTACTTTGCCAACTGTTTTATGACTTTCCCACTTCTCCTTACAATTGACTTTGGTAACTAGATGTCGGTTGCAACTTTGTAAGACTCTCCAACTGATAAAACACCTGGCCAATCTTGAGAGCAACTGTTCTGGACCAGACAAAGACTCCAAACAGACAAAATACAGATATTAAGTCCAACGACACAAATCCCAAACAATATCATCAAACAATTACAATTCTAATTCAATTTCAAAACAAAATGTATTCATCATAGAGAAATAAATCTAATATTTAATATTAGCGTTTTTATTTTATTTTATTTTCTCTTTATTTATATTTTGCGGATCCCATGACTTTTCTTAATATTCTTTTTTACTAGGTTTTACTATTATTATTATTTAACTATATTAACTGTTACAAAGCGGTAGTATATTCATTTTTTCTTATTTTAGAAAAATACATACTCATTTTTAAATGGTGATGGAATTAACCCTAGTTTATACAAATTAAATTAATTTATGACCTTCAATTTCGTTCTCTTTATTTTAATGTTTGTAAAATTTGCTTTCTCGTTTTTTTTTTCTTTCTTTAATTAATTTAATCAACAAGCATAATTTATACTTTGGGCCATAAAATATAGTGCTAACTTATCATGAGTATAGTGAAATCCAAACATTTATCTTTCTATTCATTCACAACGGTCAAATTTCATTACACAGAGATGAAGAGAAAAGGAGCAAGATCTAAGGCCGACGCTAAATCCTCCGTCGCACAACAAAAAGAAGATGTTCAAGTTGAACTTCAACTCAACAAAAATAACGAAAACGAAGATGGTGAAGGACAAGGATTCTTCGCTTGCTACCTCTTGACCTCTCTCAGCCCCCGTTTCAAAGGCCACACTTACATAGGGTTAGGGTTCCTCTCTCATCTTCAAAATCAGTTTTTTATCATCCCTTTTGATTCAATTCAAAATTCAGCCACAACCCTTTTGTTTTTTTATTCATATAAAATCTGGGTTTGTACTATTTTGTTTGTTTGTGATAAGTTGGTGATTCTCTTGATGTGCCGATTCTCTTAGAAATGGTGGGTGTTTAAGTTCTTATTTTGTTTAATTGATTTGATTTTATGTTTTGCAGATTTACAGTGAACCCGCGGCGCCGGATCAGGCAACACAATGGTGAAATTGGGAGTGGAGCTTGGAGAACGAAGAGCAAGCGTCCTTGGGAGATGGTTTTGTGTATATATGGCTTCCCAACAAATGTGTCTGCTCTTCAGGTTTTAATCTGATGCTGCTTTCTATGTATTATGAGTTTGTTCGACAAAAAATGTTTCATGTTTATTGATTGGTTGATTGAGCAAGTTAAATCAATTGTAGTTCGAGTGTCAGTATAATACCAAGCTTACCACAATTCGACCAACTACAGAGAAATCATGTTGTGCTATTTAAAAATGACGAATTTTGTGATGTTGTTTACATGGGGTTGCTTTGATTTTGAAATGCAGTTTGAATGGGCTTGGCAACACCCTATTGAATCATTGGCGGTAAGAAAAGCAGCTGTTGGTTTTAAATCACTCTCAGGAGTTGCCAATAAGATCAAACTTGCATACACAATGCTTACCCTTCCTTCCTGGGAGAGGTATGTATCGACTCTATCTCTATTGACTTGTTAAGTAAGAAATGTGCGTTTATGAAGTACTAGCACAAACACAATACTAATACGTAACGTGGTAATAGCTTAAAAAAATAAAAGTGATTGAATATAACTGCACGTCTCAGTGTCACACATTGGACACTGGACACTGGACACGCCTTTAATTGAAATGTCTGTGCTACATATGTAAATTCTTTTTTACTGGAGTGGGTGTCATTTTGTTTTAGACGCTGACACGATGTTAATGATCACAGCATGGATATGACAGTCAACTTCTTCTCCACAAAATATATGAAACATTGTGCTGGCTGCCCGGACTTGCCGCAGCACATGACAGTTGAGATTGGTTCGATGGATGAACTTCCGTGTTATACTGAAAAAATTGATGGTATGTTAGAGAATGAAGATGATGATAACAATGAATTGGAATTTGGTGATAATAATGCTGGCACAAGCGGTTCTGTTCCAGATGCATGTGATGATTCTGTAACTGCTGTTTCGCCAAAAAATCCGAGTCATGCGGAAAACATTAGTGAACCATTTGAGTGGAACAAAGAATCTGAAGCGACAGAACCACCACCAAGTCATTTGTTTATTCCATTTGAATGTAACGAAGAATCTGAAGCAACAGAACTCGCAGGTCATTTGTTCACTCCAGTTGAGTGGAACAAAGTATCTGAAGCGACAGAACCACCACCAAGTCATTCGTTTATTCCATTTGAATGTAACGAAGAATCTGAAGCAACAGAACTCGCAGGTCATTTGTTCACTCCATTTGAGTGGAACAAAGAATCTGAAGCGTCGGAACTCCCAGGTCATTCCTTCACTCCACGAGAGCACAGTGAACCATTTGATTCAATCTTATCACCGAAGGGGAAAGCATCATCAGTGGTCGAAGAAATGGATTCCATAAGCTCAACGAAAAAGAGTAATGCTGAGTCAAGTAAAACAGATCCTGAACAAACAGGTGCCACTGCCAGTGATGTTCGAGGTGCATTCTCTGTGCCCCATCAAGCTGATATAATTGATTTGTCTACACCTTCTCCTAGCTGTAGAAACGATATAGATAGGAAGAAGAGAAGAGTTTCGTCCACAGTTAGTTCGGAGTTTATTGACCTAACAAAGTCCCCTAACTTCATCCAACTGTAACGATTTCTCACACATTAATGTGTATCAGTTTGGAGATGTCAATTCTTTAAATACATCTCTGTATCTCGAGATCAAGCTTCCGCAGGATCGGGATATTTGAGTTCACCCAACAAATCTGGAGGGCGATACATTCATACCCTATTGTCATTCTCTGATGGCATATATAATATATCATTGGTATTGAATATTGTAAGAGTGATGAATAAACAGAACCTGAACAAATAAGTTGTTTCTTTCTGCTAGGAACAAACAAGTTGATGTTTCTCTCAGCAAGGTTGTTCTTCCTCATATATTTTTTGTTTATGCTAAGAACATAATGCGTCTTTTTCATTATAGTCCTCTAAAAAATTGGATTAAAATTATTCAGTATGTTATTCTCCTTTCAGTGAAAAATATACACCCCAATACTCTGGTGATCTGGTTTTATCTTATAAGGATTCATTGTTTGTTTGAAATGTTTTGAGATAATGTAATTAATGAGATAATTTAAATTTTTTGTTTGGATGAAAAATTTAAAGGATTTTTAAAATGGTGAAATTTTAGTGTTAATTGTGACTGTGTGGATACGTGTACATACTATTGATATCATCTTTGAGGTATTTTTTTTTTGTCCGAATATGTAAATGAAAAAAAATAAAAGCGTGCCTGTCTGAATATGTAAATGAAATAAAATAAAAGGGTGGCGATTATTGCGAAGTTTTCCCTTTTCTCTATAATACATCATGGAGAGTTTCTTAATCCACCCCTTAATACTTATAGGTATCTTGCAAAATTGCTTTTATATACCCTACTTTCGAAAATACATTTTCGGAGGCACCATTTTTTTTCTTATAGGTACCTCGTGAAATTGCTTTTATATACCCTATTTTCGAAAATACACTTTCGGACGCACCATTTTTTTTCTTATGCTGATTGCTTTCGAAAAATTTCGTAGATGCATATCTGAAATCTTATCAAAACAGACTTTAAAAAAAATCAAATTTCATTGGTCGCAGATGAAATATATATATATATATATATATATATATATATATATATATATATATATATATATATATATATATATATATATATATATATATATATATATATATATATATATATATATATATATATATATATATATATATATATATATATATATATATATATATATATATATATATATATATATATATATATATATATATATATATATATATATATATATATATATATATATATATATATATATATATATATATATATATATATATATATATATATATATATATATATATATATATATATATATATATATATATATATGAGAAGTAATATGTCATAATCATAAAAAAAAAAAATACATAAATGTCATCAAAATTTAAACATCAAAAAACACATCACAGTCACTACCATGTGTGTGTATGATAACATATGTATCCCTTCCTCTGCCTATCCATCTGCCGCCTCGTCTGTCTCTGCCACCTTCTCGACCACCCGGTCTGCGTCCTTGGCCATCGATCCCACCCGTCCTGGCGTGATGCCTGCGATACATAAGTGCCCTCTGTACCACCTCAATGATCTCATCCAATACATGTTTGTGGTCAGACCCCTTAATGAAGAAACTGGCGGCAATGCCTGCCCGCCCCATCTCCACTATCTGACGACAGCGAGACAGGACATCCTGAGTGTGGTCCAACTCAGACTGCTCATCCTCTAAGATCTCCTGATGAGGTGGTCTGGACGGTGATCCTTCTGCAATGGGCACCATGCATGGGTGTGAGACGGTGAAGAAGCAAATGATGTAGCCATCAATGCAGGTCCACTCTCTCGGCCCTCTGGTCGCCCGAGCCTCGTCCAGTACCATGTGTGTCTAGTAGTCAGCAAAGAACTCGTCTATCTGCCCACGGGTCAAGCCGGGAGGAGCAGAGATAGTTGGGTGTCTGGGTATTGTCTATGTGTACCTGAACTGCCGCATGACACACTCAAGCAAATATGAAACAGTGATGGTCGAACTGCACGCAACCCATCCTGAGAATAGTGATATGTCGTCAAACGGGCGCGTCCCACGGTGACTAGGTTCTATAATCAAATCTCTCAATTTTCCCAATTCAACTCAGAAACCCTCAAATCCTAAATCCACCAGGAATACATCTAAAGGCATACATGGAAAATCATGAACATAAATACTCCCCATACCTTAGTCGATTCGCAGCTTTCACGATTTCTCTTTGGGACCTTCTGCCTCCAACTTTTCCTTCAGAGCTCTGGCCACACCAAAATTTCACGTTAAACACAAATGAATTCCAATTCCTCTCAGAACTCTATTTTGTCTAACTTAGTCATGGGCCTCACACATTGGGCTTTTCCCTCATTATCCTTACTAACTTCCTCAAATGTCCAAATTGCCCTTATTTCACTTATATTCCATTTAATTAATAATAATACTAATAAATTAATATTATATGCTATTAATCAAATAAATATCCGAAATGCACATTTTCCAATATTCCCAAAACCACCGGAAATTCACTGAAACATGAATATTTTCAATTAAATAATTAATTAACATATTTCGATTAAATTTGGGGTGTTACAACCCTCCCCCACTTAAAAGAATTTTCGTCCTTGAAAATTACCTGCAGAAAACAAAGTCGGATACGAATCCCTCATTTGATCTTCACGTTCCCAAGTCCAACTTTCTCCAGCTGGTCCTCCCCACAATACTTTCACCAAGGCGATCTCTTTATCTCGTAGCTGTTTCACTTCTCGTTCGTCAATTCGAACAGGCAACACCTCAACAGTCAAATCATCTCGCACTTGTACATTATCCATCTGGATCACATGCGAAGGATCTGGAATGTACTTCCTCAACTGGGACACAGGAAACACATCATGAAAATTCGCGAGCGACGACGGTAAAGCAATCCGATAGGCTACTTCCCCCACCCTCTGCGAAATCTGATACGGACCAACAAAACGCGATGTGAGCTTTCGAGACTTCAAAGTTCGACCAACACCAGTTACCGACGTAACTCTCAGAAACACATGATCTCCCTCTTGGAATTCAAGTGTTTTCCTCCTCTTATCGTGGTAACTCTTCTGACGACTCTGCGATGCTTTCATCTTCTCACGGATCATCTTGATCTTTTCAGTCGTCTCTTGCACAATTTTAGGTCCGAGCACAACACTCTCACCTGATTCATACCAATACAACAGAGTCCTACACCTCCTACCATACAAAGCCTCATACGGTGCCATTCCGATACTAGAATGGTAATTGTTATTGTAGGTAAACTCAACCAACGACAAATAACTATCCCACAATCCATCTTGATCCAAAACACAAGCTCTCAACAAATCCTCTAAAGACTGGATAGTTCTTTCTGTCTGTCCATCCGTCTGTGGATGATAGGCAGAACTCAACCTCAACTTAGTACCCAAAGTTGCCTGCAAACTCTCCCAAAACCTCGATGTAAATCTCGGATCTCTATCAGACACAATACTCGACGGAACACTATGCAACTTCACAATCTGCTCAATATATAATTCAGCAAGCTTCTGCAACGAATAATTGATCCTCGTCGGTACAAAATGAGCCGATTTAGTCAATCTATCAACAATTACCCAAATCGAATCATATCCCTTCACCGTCTTCGGCAAACTTGTCACAAAATCCATAGAAATGCTATCCCATTTCCATTCTGGAATGCTCAATGGTTGCATCAGACCCGACTGTCTCTGATGTTCAATCTTCGACTTCTGACAAGTCAAACAAGAATAAACAAATTCAGAAATTTCCTTCTTCATACTAGGCCACCAAAATAACTTCTTCAAGTCTTGATACATCTTTGTGGCACCAGGATGAATACTCAACCTGCTTCTGTGACCTTCCTCAAGAATGCTCTTCTTGATTTCTGGCACATCGATAACACATACTCTATCTCGGAACCTCATCACACCATTCTCGTCAATCCGAAAATCACCTCCGTTACCTTGATTAATCAACGCGAGACGATCCACCAAACTCAAATCGGATATCTGACCTTCTCTGATCTCTTGGAGAATACTACTAGTCAGCTTCAACATACCCAATTTCACACTGTTAGGAGTCTCTTCACAAATCAAACTCATATCTCTGAATTGCTCAATCAGTTCCAACTCTTGAACCATAAGCATTGACATATGCAAGGACTTCCTACTCAACGCATCAGCCACAACATTAGCCTTACCCGGATGGTAACTCAATTCAAAATCATAATCCTTCAGAAGTTCAAGCCATCTTCGCTGCCTCATGTTTAACTCTTTCTGATCAAACAAATATTTCAGACTCTTGTGATCACTGAACACTTTGAATCTGGACCCAAATAGATAATGTCTCCACATCTTCAACACAAACACCACAACGACCAACTCTAGATCATGCGTAGGATAATTCCTTTCATGCACCTTCAGTTGTCTGGAAGCGTAAGCAACAACCTGACCGTTCTACATCAATACGCCTCTAAGGCCCATCTTCGACGCATCACAATACACCACAAAGGACTCACTCGGATTTGGCAAAATCAACACTGGAGAAGACGTCAACTTCTTCTTGAGTTCTACAAAACTCTTCTCACAAGCAACATCCCACACATAAGCCTGACCCCTTCGAGTCAACCGAGTCAATGGCAATGCTAACTGAGAAAAACCTTCAATAAACCTGCGATAATAACCAGCCAACCCAAGGAAACTTCGAATCTCAGTAACAGACTTTGGAGCCTCCCACTGCAACACAACATCAATCTTCGACGGATCAACAACAATCCCTCCACTAGAAATCACATGGCCAAGAAAACTCACTTCCTTCAACCAAAACTCACACTTAGACAACTTGGCATAAAGCTTCTTGTCTTTCAAAACCTGCAATACAACTCGTAGATGTTGCGGATGCTCTTCTTCAGACTTAGAATCTATCAAAATATCATCAATAAACACCACTACAAACTGATCCAAATAAGGATGGAAAATCCGACTCA